CCCTGCCCGCTGCTCTGATCCCCTGTACAGCAACACACTTGCCCGTGGCTCTGCCCCCTAGCAGCAGCAATCCATCTGGCCTCAGCCCCGGTGGCAACTGACCCCAACACAGCCCTGGGCCCATCCCCGCCCTCACCCACCATGCAGCCCCAGCAGTGGTGGCAACCACGCCACTCACCTTCCAGGTCCAGTGGGAAGGTGAGTGCTGCTGCACACCTCTGTGAAGGAGGTGAGCAGGCTTAGAATTTTTTGTGCGCAGCCGCACACCTTAGCGAGACCACTGCTGATAGCCTCATTAGTCATATAAACACTTTTAAAAAATTATGCTAAGTTCTTGGAATGAAATTATTACTGTATTTAATACATTTATCAATTTTCAATTTAATTGAATGCTGTACTTGTACACTGAGAAATTAGAATTTAGGTCCTCTACTTTACACTGCTGCTTTATATGTGGTTCCTTGTGACCCCATCACTGTGACAGCTGAGCACATTCCAAGATTTAAAAAATTCATGTCTCTCTCCATCTCCCTCCCATCAGCAGAACAAATCTCTTTATTGATTCATAATATTATATAATTATTTGTTTTGTTTGTTATGAGTGAGCACATATCTGTATAAAAAGAGGTTTATTGAGAGGAAAACCAAGTCATATGAGTTTAGTTCTTAATGCAGTGATGCCCTAGGTCCGTTATCAACAACCCATCGATCGTAATCGACTGGTCAATCTTGGACGCTTGACCAGTCAATCGCAAGACTTTGGGGGCCCCCCTCACTGCTCCACACCCCCAAGATGCAGGCCGCACTGATGCTACCTCCAGGGACCACGGAGGTAGCATAGGCTTCCTGCAGGGTCAGGGGGAGTTCTGCAGCTGCATACCAGGTCCCGGAAGTGCGCAGGCTGCTCTCCCTCCTGCCCCAACAGCTGGCGTGGTACCTAAAATGCCAGTCCATCGTGTGCTGGGGACTTTGTTCCCCTGCTTCCTTCCTGCGTGCGGGTGAGGGGGTGGGTATCCAGGACTGCGCCTGCTCACGCAGCATGTGCTGCCGTGAGGAGTGGAGGAGTGAAGCGTGCGCTGCCCGAGCAGTTGGGGCTGGCGTGGTCCAGGACTCTCCCCATCCCCCCACGCGGGAAGGCAGCAGGGGGATAGAGTCCCCAGTGTGCCCGGCTCCAGCTGCTTGGGTGGCACGTGCTGTTGTGGGGAGTGGAGAAGCAAGGCACGACTGCCCCAGCGGTTAGGGCTGGCATAGTCCGGGACTCCCCCCTACGCAGGAAGGCATCAGGCGTGCGATGGGTCAACATTTCAGGTACTGTGCTGCTGTTTGGGAGACGGGGGAGCAGCCTGCACACTTCCTGGGCTTTGGTGTGCAGCTGCAGGATCCCCAGGTATTGGTTCCTGTCCTCTCCCCCCCACCCAGCACCCACAAGCACAGTTGGAGCCACATTAGTGAGGTTTGAGAGATTTGGAGGGGTTGTGTTTTTGTATCTCACTTGTGTGGCCCAGACTGACTTTTCTGTGGGCCAGTGACCCCGACTCAAAACAGGTTACCCGCCCTTCTCATAAATAAAGAGGATGCTGAAACCTTTTGTGTTTGACATAATATTTTATTTTAAAATGAAGCCTGGCCAACAACCCCCAATTGGGGCCAAGTCCTCATCTGGCCACAGCATCGTAACACTCCTGTACCCCCAACCCTGACTCCAAATCTGAGCCTCTCATACACTGGAAACCCCTATCCTGACCCTCACATCCCCAAACTCCTGTATCCCCACATCCGCAGTCTTCTCTCACAACACTCCTCTACCATTCACACACTGCAAATCTGTGTCCTGAGCCCATCATGCTCCCAACCTCTCTGTCCCTCACACCTTGAACCCAAACTTTTGCACCCTCACATCCACAAGCCTGTAGCTTGCCTAGTACCCCAACGCTGCTTGGCCTGGAGCCCCCTCCCTGAGCCCGCATCCCCTTCTCCCCTTCC